GAGACTTGATATCGAGCTTTTCAGTATCGAAATTGATGCTCTTAATGGCCAAAACCTCTTGATTTTCACAGCTGTTTTCAGCACGTGGGACCTCTGAGGTGCATTCCTTCACCTCACAATCCTTTAATTCAATGTTTCCTTCAGGTGCTTTAGGATTTGCCTCCTGGTCTGAACCAACAGAGACTTTTGGCTTTACCTTGGCAAAAGAGGACTTATTTTGTTCTATGCGTACACCTGTAACCTCTCTTCCCATTACACTGCACGTTACACAACCAGAAAAATGATACTGTTATATCTCCCGGTAAGATTGAGTATAATATTGGTAGCAGATAAGTAGAAACACCACCACCAAATTATCATTGAATTTATCTAGTTCACTAGTATATTAACGAAAAAGTGTACAAAACATTGACCATTTTTATTTGTATACGAACATATACTTAATGATAAATCGCAAAGAAACAAAGATGCAAAAGCACATCCACACAAATCTTGAGCATCTTTCTATTCTAGTAAATAACATAAGCGGAGTTACTCGGAATTCATCAATCCATTTTTTTCATCAATTAAGTCATGGTATACAAAAACATTAAAAGAAGAATGCTATTAGCAATGTCCCAAGTAACACACATATGTTAGATTTAAAGTTTCTAAACACAACACACCATTCTCAAAATCAAATGCTCCTAAAATATCCTTGTCACTAACCCTCATCGCCTTCCTTTCTATATCCAATGATACACCTTCATTGTAATTTTTTTAATGTATTATGGGAATGGGCCAAGAGGGAATGAGATGGAAATGAAATTAAAATTAGGTGCTTTGGATATACAACCAACAGTAAAAACCATACGTTTAGCAACCAATTATTGGATGATCCAAGACCACCACATAATCCCCCATTAAAATTTTAAAAAAAACCGCGGAAAATTAGTATTGCATAATCCATGATCACCAAGCCATCCCCAACAACATGAGAAAAAATCCACGATGAAGAAATCACCATAGAAAAACAAAATTTACTCCTAATACTTAAAGTTCATAATTGGTTGGCCTTATGAATGTCATGGTGGTGACTTTAGCACACATAAATATATTTTTGCATTTGCAAAATTATTGTTCAACAAACATATGGTAAAAACATACAAGTATTACCTAAAAACATACAAGTATTACTTTCTGTTTACCTAAAATTCATATTCTCAACACCTTCACCTCCCTTTTTTCTCGCCAAACAGAATTTTTTATATTAAAAAAATATTATTAAAAAAAAGAAGTATGAACTCTTCAAGTGCCATCAATGTCTTCTTTTTTTTTTTTTTTTTTGACGTGAATGCCATCAATTTCATTCAACAGTAATCATTCATTTTTAAATAAAGTACGTAAGAATCATTCCGAAATTCTATCAGTGTTTTACTTGGTCTAATTTGACTTTGAAAGGTAAAACAATATTTTTTTACAAAAAATAAATAAAAGGATAAGATTAATAGAAAAATTAGACATCATAAACAGGAAAATTAGACATCATAAATAGGAAAATTAGCACCATCTAATTAGCAATTAGATCAAACACATAATCATCATAAATTTTAAAAAAAAAAATTAAGCATTAGAAAAGAAATTAAATTATCCATGCCAAAAAAATACAAACAAATTATTTATGCCAAAACAAACAAATAAAACAAACAAAAATTGCCAACTCAATTATTTTAGGCAGACAATGAGAGGTTTTATTAGGACCCAATGAAAAATCTAACTCAATCCTTAAAAATTTAATAATATTATAAAAAAAATCTGACAATAAAAAGGGGGAAATGAAAATCCTTTAAAAAGATAAATGCATGAATATTCCATATATTTGTACCCTCTTCCCCTGCTTTCCCAAAATCACCTCTTTAATTTTAAAAAAAATAAAAATATATTCAACACCCAGATACAAAAAAATAAATAAACATGGCAAAAAGAATATGAATCCTAAAAAAATTCCCAGAAAAAGCAGAAAAAAAAATTATAAAAAAAAGGAGAAATTTTGAGCTTAAATTCTCTTATTCCATAAAATTAATCTTCAAATTAATGGAAAAAATTAGGGAAATCAGAGCTTGAAAATATTACTTGTATTAAATTTTTTATATATAAAATAAAAAGAGAAAATTAGAAAAATCCAAGTAATGTAGAAGAGAAAGACAAAAACTTTATTACACCCAGAAAATTAAAAGATAAATCATGATAGATTAAGCAGCATTGCAAACAAAAACAAACAAAAATAAAAACATAAAACAAAAAAAAAAAAAAAAATTAAAAATGAAGAAAATAATAAAAGAAAGAAGAGAAATTTGAACTTACGCTTTGGAGCTCGGATCTGAGAAAGATCTCGAACCTCAAGCTTAATTTTTTTTTTTTTTTTTTTTTTGGTTTAAACTTGTTTTCTCCTGTTTCTCTCTCTTGCTCAAATGAAAAAGAACCCAATAAATTGGTGAAAATTATTTGTTTTTTTTTTTTTTTGGGTAAAAAGGAGTATTTTTCTGAGAGTGGTGGGATTTAGGAGGAGAGAGAAAGAAGAGAGAGAAAAAGGCTTAAACCTGTGGTTTGTCGTGCCGTTGTTTATTTATAGTCAATTCTTACTCTTTTTCTTTCTTTGTTTTTTCTAAGAATTTAACGCCGTTAGCTAACTCCATTTTGTAAAAGTCAGTTAAACCCTCTTTATTTTTGGCCCCATTTTTAAAAATTGTTTTTATACAACAATTGAATTAGGGATCCATTTTCTTAGATAGTCCCTCCAGTTTTTTTTTATAGAATTTGTTATATATATTCGGGTATATCGTACACTCAACTAACTTATGGTTAGTTTTTGCTCTTTATTTAATGATGAAATAAAAAATAATCATCAAAATGAGAACAATAATCATGGGTGTACAGTATACACGGGTGTATAAAACAACCTCTTATTTTTTTAAAGCGCTCTATTGGAAATTTTGACACCATTTATCAAATATACTTCGATCAACGTTTGTGAATTATACATAAGAAAAAAAAATACTTCGTATAATCTTGTACTCCATACATACTTATTGAAATCTTCTCAATGAATATTATTAAGTTCAATTGTTTGCATAAAAAAAATGTTTAATTATTATAGTTTATAATCAATGATAATTGAAAATATATCCCTACTTTATAAAAAGTAGAAGATAATTCTTAGGAATAGTGTTCTATCAACTATACCCTCAAAAATATGTATAAAAATGTGTACAAAATGTGTATTTACTTTTTTACCCTCATTAATATGTTTATTCTCATTAATATAGTTAGGGCATGTTCTCATTGACTTAACTCAACTGAATTGAGCTAATTGAACTGAACTGAACTGAATTGAACTGAACTGAACATTTTATAAGAGAAGGAAATTAGGAGCTGAAATAAACTGAACTGAACTGAACCGAATTTCAACGTATGAGAACAAGCCCTTAATGTTTTTTTTCCATTAAACCTATCATCAATTAATTTAAAGTTTTTTTTAATAAAAAACTTGCAATGCTTTTTCTTTTTTAATAAAAAAATTCTAATGTCTTATACTTCATATGTTGTTATTATTATTATTATTATTATTATTATTATTATTATTATTATTATTTCCAAAGAAAAAAAATTGTATGTACAAGAGACTGTTTAATACCAAGAGACCGTCTATTTTTACACCTTCGTGGTTACTCTTTTTTTTATTTACAATCTTGTTGTCATTTAATTGCAACTATTGTTAAGGTTTATTAGCTTTGAAATCTACATTGTTTGATGGTACATAAACAACATTATGGAATTTGAATGGGATTCATATCAAAAAGTGATATTTGAGTAGATGTTATCAAATTGGTATTAATTATATATGGAGAGAATTTAAGAGGAAAAGTATAACTAAGTGAAGAACTTACATTATTAAGTTTTTAGATGCAACGAACATTTTACATTTTAAAACTTCGTATGACCAAAACTCACAAAAAAATTCATTTGAAGAAAAATACACTAAGTATTATTGAAACATGCAAATCAATTAAGAGTTCTAAACTGACAATTGCCGCTTAAATTATGAAGGGATCGGATGCAAATCAATTAAATATTATTTAATAAAATGTTTGAACAGCACAATCAAACTTTTGAGGGTTTTAAAAATAATTGTCATAAAAGATTTTGGTGGCTTTCATATATTTCTACATAGCCACCACATAGGCACATAAATCAAATAGTACGTATTAAAACTACGAGGTCTACCAGCCAAACCTGACAAATTAGAGAAGAAAGAGAATAGAATAGCTTGATTATTATTGATCGATAGGTGGAGTATTTATACAAAACCTACGCTCATAAGATAGAAAACAATATTCCTCTGAATGATATTTACGGAAAATATATCACACATCTATTTTCCGATATCTCTAACAAAACCAAATGTGTAAATACACGCCAATACAACTTCTCTGCAAGAGCTAGTCCTTTGCGAGCATCGCGCGCGTAGGCCACTCTAGTTAGTTAAAGGTTTGCATTAACATGTGTGTCATGTCACTATGGGGCACTTTAAAAAACCATAGAGAGTAATGGTAAGTAATTTAAGATTTTATATAAATTATATGACATTTTGCATTTTTGTGATTCAACTATCTATATATATATTTTTTTGAAGCGCAACTATCTATCAATAACTATATACTAAAAGACACACCATCAATGACACGTGTCATCTCCTGGTGTGTCCTTAGTATATATTTTTTTAAAAAAAAAAATTAATTCCAAAAAGCACATCAATCAATCTTTAATTTCAAACACTAATTTCCTAGAAAAGCAGCAAATCAAACGAATATAATTCCAAAAAGCACATCAATCAATCTTTAGTTTCAAACACTAATTTCCTAGAAAAGCAGCAAATCAAACGAAATAATCATGCATATATAATAATATATACTTTTGGTAACAAAACATTCTTTCAATTTCGATCTGCAAGATCACTAAGATGCAACTCATGCAAGTAATAATATCAGCTTTTCCAAATTTTGCTCCAAAAAGGAGATATTTTGCATATATATATATATGTAAATAATAATCAATAATAAATATAATCTTACGGTAATCTGAAAAAAAATATATTAAAAAGATACAATATATTTAAATAATCACCATAAATCTTATTATAACTGTCCTAACATATGTACTACGGTTGATATTAATCTTCCCTTAAAAAAAAACAAAATCCAAGCTACTCATATATATTAAGGTTGATTTGCAAACTTCCCTTTAAAAAATTCAAATCTTAGCAAATCATATTATTATTGTTAATTGATATGCAATCTTCCCTTAAAAAAATAAAAAACAAAATCCAAGCTACTCATATATATAAGGTTGATTTCCAAACTTCCCTTTAATGAACATTGACAAATGCAATCACCTACGTGAATGTTAACATACATGAAGAATCTCATAATGTGAACTAATAATTCAAGCACATCAATCAATCTTTAATTTCAAACACTAATCTCCTAGAAAAGCAGCAAATCAAACGAAATAATCATGCATATATAATAATATAATATACTTTTGGTAACAAAACATTCTTTCAACAAAACATTGTATGTTGATATGTAATATTCCCTTAAAAACATCTTAGCTAATCATGACTATATTCTTACTATAATATATACTTCGTATTACATACGGTTGATATTCATTCCTTATATGATTAAATCATGCAATATTCTCTAATTCTTTTTACCTTTTTATTTTTATCCCAAATTTTCCAAAAACATCTTACCTAACCGGCCATTATAAAAAAGCATTAATGTGAATTTTTGAATCACAACCACTAAATAACTTTAAACGTTATTTTTTCTAATGGCACAAAGTTTAAAGCTTATACAAAATATCAATTCGTCGAATGAAAATATTACTATACAGGCTAGGGTTATCTACTTATGGACTATTCCATCTTTTAATAATGCAAACGATGTACATTCTCTAGAGATGGTTTTACTAGATGAACAGGTATGTAATCTAATGTTTGTCATCATTTTTTATATATGTGTATAAGTTGTGCTAGCATCTTGCGGAGTTTCAATATTTATATTTTTTTTAATTTAATTTATTTTTTTTATCTAAATTAGGGAGGAAAGATCCAGGCTTCCGTAAAGAAGTCCTTGCTTGTGATATTTCAAACTAAACTAGCAGAGGGACAAGTTTATAACATTTCAAATTTTGGATTTGGATTTAATAATGGGTCGTATAAACCCACGGGACATGAATACAAAATTCTTTTTAAACACTTAAATACAGTCAATCAAGTGGAAGGAGCAAGCATTCCCATTCGTGATTTTGATTTGAAACCTTACAATTCAATAGTTTCAAACAACTTGGACACCAATATTTTAGTTGGTATGATTAATTAAGTTTTTAATATATGTTTGTCTTACTTTATTTTTACACATAATTGATTTATTTATTTTAATCGTGAAAAAAGATTACATTGGATATCTTTCCGGAATTTCATCAACCAATACATTTTTAAGAGATGGTAATCAACAAAAGATGATCAACATCCAATTGGAGGATTTGCAGTAAGTAGAATATAATTTTTTTCCATTAATAAATACATTGGTTTTAGTCATATCTTATCATGCAGTATTAAGATTTTTATTTAATTCATGACACACCTAATTTTTTTTATTTTTTTATTTTTTTGTTATAGAAAAAATGTCTTGGATTGCACATTGTGGAATACATATGCTGACCAACTAAGAGACTATTTTTCCGAGCATCCAAATCGACAAGTTTTTATTGTCATTCAATTTGCAAAAATCAAGACTTTTCAAGGTATATTTACTTTTTAAATTTTTTATTCATTATAGTGATTTATTTTCACTTTATATGTGTGTGTTTTGAATTCTTTCTATACAATGTAGGTGTTGTTAGAATATCGAGTTCACTGTTTGTCACTAAACTTCATATAAATTCCAACATTACTGAGATAGAAGATTTCAAACAGAGGTATGTAATTTTTCTACGTCAAAATTAAATAATAATATTCTTATACAATTATAAAATGGCTTACGTGAATAATAATCAAATAAAATTTCTGAAAAGTACGAATGAAACATGCATGCATTATCATAACTCTAATAATCTATTTTTTTTTCATGATACAGGATGGAGATAGTGATTCAATACCTAAAGATTTAGAAGAACTCTTGAAAAGAAAGTTTTTGTTTAAGGTTAAAATTGCAAATTATAATCTTAAGCAAAATTCTCCTTTATTCACAGTGACTAAATTGTCTGATGATATGAACCTCATAAAACTATTCGAAGATGCAGACAATTTGAATAAGGTACTTATTAATTGCACAAAAACTTTATTCATTTACAATATATATACTATATACGGAGTATGTATTTACCATATTCTATTGAATGACATAGTTTGTGGAGCATGAAGAAATAGATGTGACTTCAAAGTCTATCAATATTTGCAAGGATCCCATCCAAAGTGAAATGGTATTGATATTATAGACTATATACAAAGATTTTCTTATGTTTTTTCAACAAGATATCCATTATATATGTTTTTTAAACGTACTTTATTAATTATTATTTCAATTACGTAGGATAATTCTCTTAGTGACAAAGAGAAGACGGATGATAATTGTTCACCTATCTATATTACTCCGAACAAAAAGAGAAACTTTGAAGAGATTGAGGACACATGTTCAGAACTATCGGAAGGACATCTCACATCATCTGAGTTTTCAACTAATAAAACTCAACAAAAGATTGTTATCAAGACAGAGAAGGAATAAAGGAATAACTCATGAATTACTTAAAACCCAATTGAATAATGTTATTAAGATAGATGATAATTAAGTGATTTTGTTTTGAAGTAGTTTTTATGTAAGGTTTTTGAATTATTTTTTAATAATACATCAACTGTGATTTTTGCTGGTTTGATGATGTTTTAATTTTCTTATTGGTTAATTTAAGGCTTTGGTTTAGCTATATTTGTTTTATATACTAATTTTATAGAGTTGAGTTGAATTGAGTGTTGTATTTAGAAGATAATTGATTTCGTATCTTTCAAATATTCTAATGTTAATCCATGTCACTATAGCCTCCCTACATATAAGCAAATAAATAAGTCTGAATCCAACCTTTTTTACATCGAAATTTCATAGTTAGCTGCTCTTGTATGCAATCACCATATTCCTAAATGAATAAGTTATTCTATCTCAAAAAGCCACTAAAAACAATCACATTAAAATCAATTATTACAGCTATAAAGCTGTCAGCAATAAGAAGTAATTACTTTTAACCCCTACCCCCAAACACAAATATTACATAGATCAGTCTGAGTTTCCCAAATTCGATTGCATCCTTGACTTCACTGATCAATTTGCTTATATGTCAGATTGTTTCCTTCTCTTTTGTTAAGGGGGAAGGTGGTTCAATAGAGTTGCCCATAGTCTAAAATTGAAATGTACTTTTGATAGTTGATGTGTGTGGCTGGAGGAATATTCTCAAGACGACTTGGAAGCCCTTAAATCTGAATAAAATACTAAATAAAGGTTCAGTATATATCACTACTATATTTTATTATATCAACTATTATATATAATACTTTTATTTACTATAAATTTAATTATATATCATAATTATATTTTATTTTGAAAGAATTATATGTTATAATTGTCTGTAACAAAGAATCCTAATTTATCTTTCAATATATATATACAGATCATATATAATGTATGCATAAATATAATTGACTCACTTTTTGGTAATTTGCAGTGCAATTTTAGCATATTGTGGATAGTGCATATATTATTGATTGATTTCGTATCTTTTAAAGTTTAAAATGTTCATGTGTTACTAATTCAGAATATATATATACATACATATATATATATATATATATTATATATATATATATTATTAAAAGAATTTGAACTGTTCTATAGAGACACCAAAAAAATGGATCAATTGCTTACAAAAAGTGCAAGAATGAACCGATTAACAATCTTAAGAGAAAAGCGAGCGCGACTATCATATGAAACACGAACACCAAGCCATTCAAGAAGACCACTAAATGATATATCAAATGGTAGGTCTTATCACTTTTTTTTTTGTCAGTAGCCATCATTTGTTTCAGAAAATGATATACTCCATAATAATAATACTATTGTACTGTGTGTCATGGTAATCAAACCTCAATTTTGTAGTTTACCAAGATTATGGTGAATCATCTACAAGGAAAACTCAAGTTCGGGCTCCCAACGCAATAGCAACATCATTTGGATATAATATCAATGGCCATACGAATATTGATGGTGAAAATAACTCAAATTTTGACTTAGAAGGTATAGGCCAAGCATTAATTCTTATTGACATCATATATATTTTTATAGTTTGTTAATGTACTATTTTCACAATAGGATATGGGATCATTGATGATAATGATGAATTTAATGAGGATGACATAAATAATGACATAGAAGGTGACGATGAACTTGGAGATGTTATTGGGTTTAAAGGTATGTATTTCATAAAACTTAAACTAATTGCATTTTTTTTTATTAAATACAAGTATATATTTGTGTCCTTATAATTCAAAAAATTTGTAGACTATTGGGACATTGGAGATCCAATGTATACTTGCGAATATTGTAATGCAATCATGTGGTTTGAAGAAAGAGCAAGAAAAGATCGAAAAACAAACCCAAAATTTTCTCAGTGTTGCATGCAAGGAAAGGTTCAAATTCCTAAGCTTCAAGATCCACCTCAAATACTTCGAGACCTATATACAAATCACGATGCTAGGAGCAAGAATTTCCAAGATAATACTCGACCATATAATATGATGTATGCTTTTACTTCAATGGGTGGCAAAATTGATTCATCTGTGAACAGAGGACGAGGTCCATTTACCTTTAGATTGTATGGTCAGAATTACCATCGAATAGGGAGTTTATTGCCAATGACGGGGTCGTCTCCAAAGTTTTCACAATTATATATTTATGATACATAAAATGAAGTATCTAATAGAATGCATGCTTTCAGGTATATATCTTATGATGATAATCGTGGATTATATTAAACATGCATTTATATGTATAAATTATAGTAAAATATTTTCCTTTAAATTAATATAGTAGTAGCACTTTTTATTACAATATCATAAAGACATGAATCATAAAGTAAATGATGAAAAGTATATACAATAATGTACCACCTAAAATCTATAAGCATAAATAACGCTTATCCTTTTTTTTTTTTTTATGCAGTTCAAATAGTACTAGAAATAATGCATTGGATGATACAATTGTTGAAGATTTGCGACAAATGTTTGATGAATATAATCCACTAGCTCAAGCATTTAGAGTGGCTAGAGATCGATTTGAGTCGAACAATCAGGAGGCTGTTAAGCTTAGACTCATTGGAGGAAGGGAGACTGATGGAAGGACTTATAATCTGCCTACTGCATCCGAAGTAGCAGCTCTAATTGTTGGAGATGTTGGAAGTTCAGTTGGAGAAAGAGATATAATAGTTGAGACAAAAAGCGGTCAATTACAACGTATAAATGATCTACATCCATCTTATCTTCCACTACAATATCCCTTACTGTTTCCATATGGAGAGGATGGCTATAGACTTGGTATTCAATTAAGGGACTCAACTAGCATCAATCGAAAAAGAAAGAAATTGACCATGAGAGAATTCTTTGCTTTTATAATACACGAGAGAGAAGATGAGGCTTTCACTATTTTATGGTCTCGGAAATTATTCCAACAATTTTGTGTTGATGGTTTCACGATGATAGAATCTGAAAGGATGTGTTACATTCGAACTCATCAAAAACAGCTCAGAGTAGACAAGTATAAGAATCTCAAAGAAGTGCCACGACAAAACACTAATTCTTCTTCGACAGGAAAACCTATGATATTACCTTCATCTTTTACTGGTTGTGCTAGATATAATGCTGAAAATTACAAAGATGCCATGGCTATTTGTAAATGGTATGGATATCCTGATTTGTTCATCACTTTCACTTGCAATCCAAAATGGCCCGAAATCCTAAGATATGTACAAAAGAGAGGTCTTAAACCTGAAGATCGACCAGACATTCTTTGCAGAATTTTCAAAATCAAACTAGATCAGTTGATTCGTGATTTGAAGGAAGGGAAAATATTTGGAAAAGCACAAGCTTGTGAGTATTAACATCATTGTTTAAACTTTAAAGTCAATTATATATATATATATATATATATATATATATATATATTGTTGTCATTATTACAGTATCTTATGCTATTTTTTGCATTATTGTTACCATAAAAATATTATATACGACAAAAAATAGTATTAGACATACATATTCCTACAAGCTGTAAATGCAAAATTGGAAACAAGCAATAAGATTTTTTGATTATCTACTATTATGTATTACTACTATATTTTAGTGTAGATAACTATACAATTAGCTTAGAGAAAAGAAAGTGAATTATTATTATATTGAATGAATGGAAACATGCATGAAATCGATCACATATAGTATTAATTGAATCAAAGATTTTTAGTATTAAATTACTATATATAAGTAGATAAAATGATGAATAATATTTTTTATAGTATATATTATAATGATCACGCTTATATGACACCATTATGTATACCAACCCAAACCACTATAAGAATATATACTTCAATTAATATTATAATTATATAATGCTATACATTTCACTTATCTTAACTTTAAGGTATATTAATTAGTTTAATAATTAAATTGATAATGAAGTTCATTACATGTGCAGTGGTCTACACAATTGAATTTCAAAAACGTGGTCTACCTCATGCTCATATCGTATTGTTTTTGCGCCAAGAAGACAAGTTTCCTAATGTCGATGACATTGATAAGGTTATTCTGCAGAAATACCTGATCAGGAAACATACCCAGATTTATATATCTTAGTTAGAGACTCTATGTTTCATGGTCCGTGTGGTGCACATAATATCCGCTCACCATGTATG